ACGTCCTCCGTCCTTTCGAGAGAATTAGGTGAATTCAAACACTCGGACAATACTGATAATCAATTACTTCATATTTGGTCTTTATAGTTAAAATTAGATTAGCCAAAAAAAAAAAAAAAATGTGATAACACCTCCTTCATAGGGCTCGGCCATTGTCTTGCGTTTTTGCATTCAAAAATTTTTTGATGTCTGTATATCTGAGCATTTAATAAATATAAAAGCGTGGGGAAATGTTGGTGAATTACTGTCTGACAGGAAAATATGATAACCTCTGAATTGGCATTAGCAGGACCCCTAGCAGATATAATAGATAACCCTTTTTCTTGTTAATTACGATAGCAAAACTTTTAAAGATATAGAACCTAGAAAAAAACAACAAGTACCGATGAAGTTAGAGGGAAAATAATACAACTGATTCATGATAATTTATAACTAACAAAAAAATCATTAAAACTAAGAATCAACATCACCATAACCTGGAAAACATAATCCTGTTTGCTAATTTCTTCTGCCACCTTGTCACATTTTGCCACTTTTTACTGCTTTTTCCCTTAAACAATTTCGTACAAACAATTTGGTTTCCAGTTTAAGAACAGAGAAAACCAATAACCAATTCCCAATTGGCATTCCAACACGCATACCCCATCACCACCGGCAGAAAACCATTATTGCTACTGTAACATATGATAATGTGGATAATGAAGTGGTGGTTAAGGTAGACGTGGGCAAAGTTTGGGCTAATCTTTGATAATATTGTTGTAAAAGTAGATTGAATAATTGTCATATACTATTTGTGATGTTGGCTTGATTGTGTATTCTGTTCTACTGTGTTCTATGTTTGTGATTGCTTGTTTTTTTTTCATTTTCTCAGTAAGTATATATTTTATTCAATATTTTTTTATCATTATACATAGAGACATAGATAGTGGATTCATTCATATGTTTGACTTGGTACAAAGAAATGCATGCATGAGTATTATCATTTAAATTAATAATACCAACAACTTATATGATCTACTCCATTGTTTATATAACTCAAATATTTTAGGACAAATTACATTTATGATCCTTATATTTTGTCTTTTGTGTTATTTTGATCTCTACATTTTCAATTGACTCAATTTTAATCCTAAATTTATGATTTTGTGTCAATTTGGTGTAATTGATAATGTCGTTAGTATTTTTAATAAAGAATTATCGCTCAATTGGTTGGGGTTAATTTACTGAGTTGAGTAAATTTATAATTTACCTTTAAAAATATGACACATGTCACTCATGTACGTGCTTTTTATATAAAAAAATATATATTAAGAATTGTAATCAATTGGACAAAAATTAAGACAAAATTCAAGATTAAAATCAAGATAATTGAAATTACAGGAATAAAAATGGCATAAGAACAAAAAATAAATAAAAACTACCATCATAATTTGTTCAATATTTCATCAAAACTCTCTACTTCCTATGTATCATTATGTGTCATGATAACCCGAATATTATTTTAAGGTTCGTTTGGCATTAGCTAATATAGTCAACTTTTTTATGTTAAGACTTTTTTAGCCTGACTTTTTTAGGCTCGTTTAGTTTTTGTTTTGGGGCTTTTTTGACTTTTGTGAGAGAAAAAAAAAAAGTATAATGATTATGGGTAAAAAGTAATATTTTATTTTATTGACTTTTATTATCAATTTTGTCTTTTTGTAATTATTTAATCCCAAAATGAATACCAAATCAGGACTAAATATGATGGATTATACATACACATATATGAATATAAAGTCTGAGGTGAAGAAAGGGTTAAAGTACATCAATATCATTTCGGCTCCCTATGTTCTCCTATAGCGACCCCGGTCTTTTCCCATTTGATTATTGTATCCGGACTTGGGTTCCGTTTATTCTGTCATTAATTGTTGTTGTTGTCGTCTTTTATTTTCTCATTTGGAGCTATAGGATGTGTTGGGCAGGTTTGTTTCAGGTTGGTTGGGTTCGTAAACCAAGTGTTGCTGTCCAGTTTTTGGGTTGGTCGCTCGAGCCAGGGCTTGGTCGCTCGAGCGAGGGTTGTATTTTGTGTCTTCTGGCTCGATCCAGATTTGATTCGCTCGAGCGAGCGACTGCGTCTGGTACAGACCTGAGGGCAGTGCTTATTCGCTCGAGCGAGATTTTCTTCGCTCGAGCGAGCGAGGTGTATGTTTTCGAGTTCCTTGCTCGAGCGAGCATTCTGTCGTTCGAGCATGCTCCAGGGTAGCAGACCTGAAGCATTGCATTCTTGGCTCGAAACAAATTTGTCGAATTAATCACTTTTATTCGGAAGTTAAGTTTCGAATTAAATGTATAAACCAGTGTCGAAATCCCCAGACTGAAAAACATAAAAATAATAATAATAAAAAAAAATAAAAATAAAAATAAAAACAAGGGTTTTATGGCAATGGAATGTACATTGATCTGAAAATGGTAAATGCAATAACAGAATGATAAATGTAATAACAAAATGGAAAGATGCATTATCTTCAATAATATTGAAGGTTTTTAATGGAGGTTCAATAGAGTCTTCAATAGAAGACTTTGTCTTCACTTCACTTCTCAATGTGGTCTTGAATAGTTTTCACGTGGATCTACAATGGGTCTACAAATCTGGAAGCAGGGTCACTCAGCAAGTGTGTGGAAAGGAGAGTTAAGTGGTGCGTGCACAATGATTATGAGTGAAGTGTATAATTATAACTTTTAGTATATGGATTGAGAAAATTAATTAATAATTAAATTAATAAGTGTGTGTACTGAGAGAAAATGTACACTGATAATTAAGTGTGTGGAAATAGAATTTCCTCTCTCTCTCTCCCCCCTCAGTTTCTTTCTCTACCTTCACTTCGATCCTAAACCCAGAAACCCAATTCAATGCATTAAGGAAGACCCAACAATGGACTCCGACGAGGTAACAATCTACCACCACCACTCTTTTGCCGCCAACCACCGCCGCCAACTTTTTTTGAACTGGAGATCGATTTCATGTAAGTAGAGAGCGATGGGGGTATTTCGCGAGTTATAGAGATGAGAGGTTGTTGGTGTTGCAGCGGCGATGACAAACGACAAGAATGGGTTGGTGGGTGGTGCTGAGTCGTGAGAGAACGACTAGAGTGTGGCGAGAGGGGTTGTGAAGGAGTGGCTAGAGCTAGGTAAAGGTGGCCGAAGTTGAGTGGTTCGCCAGAGTTAGGTTTTTGGACATTTCAATCATTTATTTAATGGGTAAAATGGTGTTATAAAAAATTTAAAAATTAATGCGCTCAACCAAATAATTGAGGTGCATTTAGAGGCACTCCTGGCAAGGGCCAACTATGATGGGAAAAGGGTACAACAGAACAACTTTTGTTTTCAAAAAAAAAAAAAAGAAGGAAAAAAAAGATTGTAATTCCATGTAACAGGTTTGTCTGCTTAAAATCATCAAATTTTCATGTTTTAGCCTTCATATCTATTAAATTCTTAAGTAAATTATAAATACACCTTGTAAAGTTTATTTAAAATATGAATTATTTTTTGTGATTTGAAAAATTATAAACACCGTTTTCTTAGAATTTTTTTAACGGAATTAACTAAAAAGCTGAAATTCTTAACTGTTCTCTTATAAAATAATAAAATTACTTAAATTATTAATTAAAATAAATTTTTGACATCGTTAAAAACTATTAAATGACTTGATAATTTATTAATAAAATAAGTCATCTATTATGAAATTAAAAATTTTAAGGAGCAAAATATAATTTCTATAACCACATAAGATAATTTGTATTTTAAACAAATCTTAAGGAGTATATTTGTAATTTACCCTAAATTTTCTTATATTAGCCATCCCAATCTGTTTCCATTATTAATAAGGATAAATCATACATCATTGAGGTTTGTTAAAAATATAAAGTATTTCCTCACATTTTAAAAATTTTCAAATCAAGTTTGAACAACTTATAACTCGATTCATTCGCATCCCTATTAATATGTTGTTCCTATATATACTCATTACGCGTATGTATATCATTGTATTTCTACATCTACTAGCAATTATTAAAGGGAGATTGACCAATAAGTCCCATATTTTAGACTTGTAATCCATAGAGTCCCATATTTTTTCTTGTGATTCATTTAGTTTTTTTTTGTGTAATGACTCATTTACCCACCACATTGGTATATTACATTTGAAAAAAATATACTAAATTTTTTTTTAATATCACATCATATCCGCTACGTTAGAGTGTCACATTTGAAAAAAAATACACTAATTTTTTGCAATGTCATATCACACCTCCACGTTAGAGTGTCATATGTCGCGTTTAGAAAAAGATATACTAATGAATTTTTAATTTTTTTTGGAGTGTCACATCATGCCCACACGTTGCCATATTTGGAAAAAGTACACTAATGAGTTTTTAATTTTTTTGGAGTGTCATATCATACCTGCCACATTGTCACATTTGAAAAAAGTACACTAATGAGTCTTAAATTTTTTTTAGAGTGTCACATTATACCAACCACATTGTCACATTTGAAAAAAATACACTAATAATTTTATTTTTTTTTTTGAATAAAAGATTTAGAGTGACACACCATACCCGCCACGTTGTCACATTTAAAAAAAATACATTAAGGAGTTTTTAATTTTTTTGGAGTCACATCATACTTGTCATGTTGAGTATTACATTAATACCTGTCACATTAAAGTGTCACATCATACATGCCACATTAATAAAATGGTATAGTCGTCTACCAAAATGCTACTAAAATCGAAAATAGGACTATACAAAAAGAAACCGATCAATAAAAAAAACTTGAGACTAATTGGATTACTTGTTTGTGAGATGAGACTTATTGGTAAATATCCTAAGTGGGGCCAATTTTCTAGGTCCTCTTTTACTAGGACTCATCCAATAGGAAACACTTCGACAAGCTAGCGTGTCGTGAAAATGTAGGGTATGCGAACCTCTAGTTTTCAATCATGGATTTTCTGGCAAGAGAATTTTAAAAATAAGGCAATATATTGAACAATCTAAATGATACCATTTGTAATTTCCATCCACTTACTTGAAAAACTGTACTTTCTAACAGAGTTTGGATTATGACAAACAATTGAGATCATCCTACCTAATTATTATGTAAATCTTCTAGGTAGGTACATAATTTGGTCATTATATAAACAATGATCCCTCCATGAGTTACGACCAGTGATCGTTTGTAGCAGAAAGCAACCCCTTATATTTTCTCCATAGGATCCGAAATGGGCAGCATCCAAAATCATGAAACTAAACCGTTATATCACGGAGCAACATAAATTGGCAAACAAGAAGTCAATAATGCAGGGGAAAAAAAAAAGTTATACATGACAAGGATTGGATAGTGCAGGTAGTACCCTTTGCAATAATGGAAGATATACATATTCATAACGAGAACCTGTTTAGGCAATCTGAGCTTTTATGCTTTAAGGTGGTAATACTTGTCAAGGAGCTTTTCAGTATACTCACCGAAAGTAAGAGATCCATAAGATGAGATTAACTGGGAAACAACAAAAGAACAAATACCAATTGATTATGATCATGATATTCATAATTTTTACCCAGAGTGAAACGGGAAAATAAACTGAAAACTAGTTATGCCCTTATATAATAACTTTGTCACAAAAATTATGTGCAACACTTGCAACTGTGCACGTTTTGCTCTTGCACTGAGAATGTGTCACAACAATAGGGTAGGGGATGTGGATTAAAATGGGGGAGGGGTTGGGGGGTTGGGGTGGGTGAGAGGGCTGGGGATTGCGGGAGAGGGTTTTGTAGTGGTGGTCGACGGTCAGGAGTTGCAAAGGAAAGAGGAAAAGAAAGAAGAGGGGAAGGGAAAAGGGAGTGGTACTTTGGTCAGTTTAAGGAAGATTCTAACCATTTGAAACTACCTACGTTTGGCATGAGCTATTTTGGGTAAATTAGCCAATAAAGACAAAATCCACTTATTTAGCCAATAAGACAAAACGTCACATTCAAACCATAATCATTTTACTTTTTTTTTCACAACTATCAAATTAACTACCAAAAAAAAAAAAAAAGAGAAAAAAAAAAGAGTCAAAATTTATCCAAAACATAACTATTTTAGTCAAACTAAAATAGCCAAAGTCAAAAAGTCAAGCTAATTAGCTCATCCCAAATGAGGGCTCAATGCTTCTAATAGCCACCACCCTTTTTATTTAGAACCCCCACCTGCCAAAATTGCTACCCACCTTTTTTCTTTGAACTCCCACCACAATCCCCAATAATACCCCTTTCTTTAGACACCCGCCCTTGTCAGCATCCAAGCCCTCACCTCCGCCTTTGACGATCCCCCCTCCCACACCAGCGACCCCCTTCCTACTACAACCCTCTTCCCAACTCTCCCATTGCACAACCTCTCCTCTTCCTCTCCCAACAAGCTCTCCTTTCCCCACCAGATGTCGCGCGAGAGAGAGAGGGACAGTTACGAGGAGGGGCTGTGGGGAAAGAAGAAGAAGAAGAAGAAAGAGGTTGTGGTGGGGGTCACGGGTGTGGGACTGGAATGGGGTGGTGATCGAGACAGCCAGGGGGCCATAGAGGGTGGTGGGAAAGGGCCGAAGGAAGTGGCTAGGAATGATGGGGGGTGGTGGCAGAGGGGGGTTAGGCAAGAGGAGGTGGTGGGGAGGGACAGGAGAGGGTGGCTGGAGCAGCTAGTGGTGGGTAACCTTAGGGTTTGGGAGGTTGGAGATGGAGGATAAAATTGAAATTTTGTGTGTTGGGCCGAGGTGGGTGATGCACCTCTGTTGGGTCCAGAGTTGGTGAGGGAAACGACGGAGAAAGTTGAGCTTATCCGTAAGAGGCTTGTTACAGCACAGAGTCGTCAGAAATCGTATGCCGACCGTAGGAGGAGACCTTTGGTGTTTGAGGTGGGTGATCATGTCTTTCTGAAGATATCACCTAGACGGGGTTTGATGAGGTTTGGGAAGAGTGGGAAGTTGTCACCTCGGTTCATTGGTCCGTTTGAGATCCTTGAGAGGATTGGCGAGGCTGCTTATCGTTTAGCTTTACCACCGCAGCTATTCCGGGAATTTTTAGATTATTTTGTAGTCGTCTTTGTGGACGACATCCTTATCTATTCACCTTCTGAGGAGAAGCACAATCCATGTCGGTGCTTCTTAATGAGTTGGTGCACAACCTATATTCCATTAGAGGCAGAGGTGTTTTCATAGAAGATAGCAGGTGCATGGTTTGTGATCCTTCTGTGAGTTGTGCATCAGTTGAAGTTTTCTAGTTGTTTTCTATTATTTGTTTCAGCCCTGTTACTAGTTGTTTTCTATCTCTTGATTGATTTCTCCTCAACCTTCGTTTTCGGTTGGTTCTGCAAATGATTGGACATGTTCGGTTGTGCCAACCTAGTTGGGATAACTTGATTATGCTGTTATGCTTATAGCACTACCGTTTGATCTTTGTATCCTCTTTATTGATGTATGATGTAAGGTTATCCTTGATTCTTATCAACAAAGATTCATTTTGCTGATAAAAAAAAAAAAAGTGTTATGTCATGTTAGAAGTCATACCAACTCCAGCTCAACTCAACAAGCCTTTGTTCCAATTACTTGGGGTTAGCTACATGAATCAATTTCCACTAGTTGGCACTATTTAAAGTCATATCATCAGTTAAGTTCATGGAAATCACCCTTCCTTATCACCTCAACACATGTTCTACTTGCCTTTCTTTTTTTTTAAGACGATGTTGAGCAACTTGGAGTAGGGGAAAAGATATAAACATTCTTCATGTTCTCTATTGTATTCACCATCATAGTCGTCAAATCGTAAATTGAATCATGAATCGAAATGGCCTTGTATCGAATCTCGAATCGAATGAGATTATTCAGGAATCCATAAAGATTCGGTCACTTTTTCTAAATTACTTAAAAACATATATCTACACATTTAAATGTTAAATGTATTTTATGAATATAAAATATTTAGACTTAAATCAACAAAAATGTTATTTTGAATGATAATCACGTAATTTAATAGGTAAGAAATTAACAAAGGTTCCTATGTAAAATCACCATCTTACCTTCTTTTTCTTTTTTTTTTATAGATATTTTTTATCAACCATTCTTAATAAAGATAATAACCAAATAGACAAACTATTAATTTCTAAGGTAACAATAGTTAATAACGATATTGATATTTGGACAACAAGCATATATACTTTTTTAAGTAAGTGTAAGCAAATAATAAGAAAGAATTATTTAGGATATTTTATTTTAAAGCCTAAAATATTTTAAAAGGTATAACTGACCTCACACATGTAATATTCAATTTAATAAAATAGTAATAGATAATTCATAGTGTAACTTTAATCTTAAACATCTTTAGAAGATATATTACAATTTTTAGAAGGGGAAAAAAATGAGAAGAAATGTTAAAAATATGTTAAGTCTAACTGAATCTAATTGGATGCTATAAAAAACTCCATGATCACTAAAATAACAACAAATCATATATATATGTTGGTTATTTTGGTATTAAATGCAATTAGAAGTTGTATTATGTCATTTTCACTAAAAAAATAGAAAAAATGAGTTGAAAATATGTCGAACACAATAATTTCAAAAATTGCATGAATCGTAAAAAGTGAATCGATCGTGAATCGTGCAATTCACTAGAGATTTACTTCCAAAATAGATTCACTCATAGATTCGTATCGATTTTGCAAAAATTGCGTATCAAATTGCGAATCGTAAGATTCTGATAACAGAAGTTATGACCTTTAGAAACGAACATAAGTTTCTTTCCAACTTCATTTTCTTTAGGTTGTGGATTTGAGTAGGAATTTGTGAAGGAAAAGGGAAAAAGGAGGGAAAAAAGTTAACGATGAGTTAAATTTTTTTTTCCACTTTTTCCCTTCCCATCGACAAATCCCCTTCTAAATCATTGATACAAACACAGCCTTAGGAGACAATAAAACCAAAAAGTCCATGTAAATAAATTCCTGAAGAGTTATGAAGATTTGGACGCCTGGATAATTACTTTAAGATTCAGTATAAAACATGTTTCATTGTAACCTACATGATTCAACTCATTCATACTGCTAATAAAGCAAAGTGCATGAGGACCATGGCTACCAGAAACTTCTTTAACGGTGGAAAGCACACCCCAGTGCAAGCATGGTTTAGACAATTCACAAACCACAACTACTCAGAGTTCTTATTTTTCTTTCTTTATCTTTTCCCCAATTTCATAAGCATTCTATGCTCAGTTGATAACCATGGATTTGTAAGGTTTCTAAGGAGTAATCCTTCACCAGAAAAAAATAAAAAAATAAATAAAATATATATTACTTGTTAAGATAACAAATGGCTGCGACTGATAATGAACTAATAACAACTACTGTAATTAAGTTTTAGTATTTATATTCTACAATGTTACATTTCTTTAACATGACAATTTATTGGTCATGCTTCTTTTCTTTTTCTTTTTTTTGTTTTCTTTTTTTTTTTTGGTTGATTTATGCACCACCAAGTTAATACTTCTTTACACATTATTATTGTAAGCTCTGGAGTCTTAACATGTTGAAATGCTTTTACGTCTGTAATAGGTCAGAGTTACTTCTTAATTCCCTGTCTACGGAATCCTGATTCTCACTTTCACTTCCCACCTGCTAGACTTGCTCTGATAACTATGGGTATGATTTCTAGATTTCAAGGAACTTTAAATCTGACATTTCATACTTGCACAGAAAGATAATTAATTCAAATGGATGGATATTCATGAATCAAGACTTGCTAAAATGTTAGTTGTCAATTGACATTGATTCTAATGCAGAACCTAGCACTCCCAATAGCAGTCTAACTGTGCTTTAGCACATTTCAATTGCATTTAGAGTGACAACATAAAGCAATGGTACATTGAATTAGAAACAAATGGAGTATGCTAAATTCTCACAGGAGCACTTTATTTTGGCTAAAATTTTTTGACTGAAAACAAAAATGCTAATAATAATAATTATGTTTCCTTTGTTCAGAAAATATAATAATCTTAATATTAGACATGATGCACATAAAGGCAACCAAAACTTTTCAGATACGACATACTGCAAGAACTAAAACTTCCTTTCTCATGCAATTAGAAAAGAGGGATGTGGTAAAAGCAGGGACTTTGATGCTTTATTGACGTCATAAACAAAACCGCATGCATGGTCCAGATGTGTGTGCATGTGTGTGTGTAATCCATATCAAGGCTTTTTTGGGATAAGCAATCAAAATCAAGGCTTGCAAGATTATTTTGGAATTAGTTGGTGGATCTACACCTCAATTTTCGTCTCATAATTTGTTCATTCTTTCCAGGTTTCTACATCATATTTCACAACTGAGATTCTTACTAAACTCGCAATATTAGAGAAGTCGCTGCTGACAGTGAACAAGATCATTCCATCTAAGAGTACCATGTAACCGTAAAACAAGTAAAGATTTGTTTTCACTAATAAGCTTACCAGTCAGGCTGCATGAATAATGCAAATGTTGAACGTTCAATGCCAGAAGCCTCCTCCCCCTTAGGTGCCTAACATGTAACCACTAATCAGGATAAAATTCATGGATGATAAAGCAATAACAAGTGTACAAAGAAAGAGTAGGTTATCAGAGAAATAACAAGTGTACAGAATGAAGAAATGAAAGAGTAATTTATATGATTAGCTTAGAGATACAGAGAAGCCCTACTCATAACTTAGAATGCATGACTTTTGAGTATTCTACATGTTTCAAACATAAAACCCAAATGGTTTATAACTTTTAAGTATATTACAAATATCATGTCAAGAATGTGTGCCCACTACAAATGTTATAATACTCTGTGTGCGCGCGCACGTGCGTGCACATATATATAGAGAGAGATATGTGGCTGAAAGGGTGATGGGGTTTGAACTCTTAAGGTGTATGCTTGAAAAGGATCGGGAAAATGGGAAATTGTTAAGTGTTAGGGGTAGTTTGGTCTTTATGTATTATTCTTATTAGTATAAGTAGTTGTGTGTAAGGGGGAAACCCTAAGTTTTGAATTAATAATCTACAGAAGCTTTCTCTTGTTCTATTTCTTCTTCTTCTTCTTCTTCTTCTTCTTCTCATCTATACATTTAACATGGTATCAGAGCACTATCTTCCTCCTTGAAGATTGTTCCTTAGAGCCCCATATTGTTCCTGGTACGTCTGTTACAGCCAGAAAAAAAAAAAAAAAAAAAAAAAAAAAAAAAAATTTAAAAAAAAAAAAAAAAAAAAATTATAAATTATGAGTACGGGGAGCAAATATTCCGGAAAGCCCGTACTCCTTTCTTCCGAGCTCCGTTTATGTTCGATCACCTGCGAGCAAATAACGGTGAGCTACCCGGCAGAGTG